TTCAGCTGCAGGGGTGGGGGTGGGGTGGGGTGGGGGTAGCGCTCTGCTCATTACCCCCAGGATTTTCATTTTTACCTCATTTGGGGTAAATTACCTCTGTTTCCCGACCACTGTCCTAGAATGTCTAATTTTCTCCCTTCCTTATTAGTCAGGGCTACAGATGATTTATTCCTGGCTCTGGATTGGCTTGACCCTACAATAATGGAATTTGGTGTTGGATGTTTTGATAGAAATGTGGTGTCCATGCCATGAGTTTTGTAATGATTTTCTACCCGTCTTGAAATTTAGAAGGAAGATGGTGGTTTGTCCCACGATTCTTTGAGGAGATTTTGCTGAAGGTTGTTCAATTATGTCATATGAACGTTTGAGTACAGGTTTAATAGATTTAGACACCTGAGAATAGGGTGTCAGTCTTGACGAATATGTATGATGCCGGTATTGAGGGGGAGAAGGAGATACTGAGAGACAGCATGTGAATGGGTATGCATAAGCATATCGGACTCGCTTAGACTCCTCATAGTACACAGGCTCTTTGATATTGTCTTGATGGTGGTACGCCTCATACTGTGGAAAATATGGGTCTCGGTATTGACTTCTCTGATGGTATTGAGAGGGTTCCTCATAATAATAGTATGCTCTATGTGGTGGGTCATATTCCACAGGAGAGAGGTTTAGTCTTTTTGCCTTGTGTTTTCGTGGAGGCGATTTTTGAGGTGACTCGGATTGAGAGAGTTGCAAAGATATCGCCCGCCTTGATAATACAGAGATAGAATGGGCTGAGGCTGGGCTAGATGGTAGCCACTGAGGGGCCAACACTAGGTGACAGGCTCTCTGCTGAGGCAGGAGGCTGGCCTAAAGGCAATGATGGTAAATCACCTCGATCTGAGAGGGTCTTGTAAGCTTCGCAAGAGGATTCCTCTAGAATTGGCAATGGAAGAATTGCTTGAGGTGGATCTGGGCGTGTTGGTTGAGTAGGCTTTTTAGGTTTTTTGGTCTTGATTTTCTCCTTTTTCCCTTTAGATAATTGCTCCTTTGGTCTCCAAGAAGGTTTCGATGCCAAGGTCGATTTCAGTTTTGAAGATTTTGAGTGCTCCTTCTGTCTCAGAGGTGTTGCCGGGCTCGAGATGGAGTGGGCTGGATCTTGTCAAGGGGCCTGTGGTGAGATGGATTCCATCGGAGCAGCAGGTGGGTGAAGAGATTTTTCCCAAAAGTGAGGTCTAAGCTGCACTCGAAGCTTTAATGATGGTTTGGTAAGTTTTTTACACTCTGAACAAGAGTGAGTTTGATGTTCACCCAGGCAGAAGAAGCAACGATCGTGCCCGTCAGAAACTGGGATTTTATTTGTGCAGAGCACACATTGCTTAAACGGCCTGGAGGGGGCATAAAAGAAGTGGGAAAAGGGAGCAGCTTTGAGGAAAGGAGAGAGAAAAAATTGGGACGAATTAAAAATGAAAGATAAACTCATGAGGGAACGTCAAATGAATGTTAGAAGGCCCATAGGGCTCAAAGAAGTAAAGCTCTGAACTATCAAAAAAGTTGCTCTAGCTCGTCAAAAGGTCTGACCTGAGTGCCGGCTAAAAGGAAGTGAGGAGATTTTGGTTGGGCGGAGCATGTGCTCCATGGGGGAATGTCCCACTAATCACATGTCTTTAAGCTCTAGAAACTTCAGAGGGGTCCTGTGCAGGAGCAGAACAATCCAATTGTGTGGATTCACAGAGACCACAAAGAAGAAGAAATCTTCCCCATTCACCTGATAGATGGCCATTGTCAGTAGAGTGTCTGGCACTGGCTATAATAATAGGAAATAATCTGCAACGTGCTTAAGCACTTGATATGAATACAGTATGCTTTCTATAATATATTTAAATGATGAAAAATGTATTTTTTTATTTTTAAAAATGTGCTTGTTTTCCTTTTAATATACAATAAAAAGTAATAAAAATTAAATACCAAAGTAAATATATTACCAGTAATTTAAAGCATGATAAAATATAAATTAGAGCATATTGAAATCTAAAGTGGCAATGGATAAATAATTGTCTATGAAATTACATACCATGTGGGGAAAAAAACCCTGGAAGCCAAAAGCAAGTGGGGTATCCCTGGTAGCTGCCACTGAAAAAGTCAGAATCCTCACCAAACTGAAGCAATGTTCTGGTTTGCCTTTGAAGCATCATTAAATAGTTAAACCTATTAAAAACACAATGAACCATTAAAAATATTAAATCCAAGGCAGTGTAATTTAACAAAAAGATGTGTTGCTTGTAAAGGATCAAGATTATGCACAAATCTCTTCTGCCCTTCAGCTAGTTGATCTCAGATGTATATCAATATAATGGCAACAACTGTCTGCTGGCTAAAATCTGGCAGAAGTCTGAAAAAGTAGTGGGGTTTGGGAGGAGCTGCATTATGTCAGATCCAAACTTCTTTTAGTCAAGGGAAACCACCACAATATTGGCAGGGTAATGGTAACTCCAATTAATTCCCTCTATCCCTACACTGGGAAAAGTTTAACTTTGTCACAGCTTCAACTGGCCTTTTGATTCTGCTGGTATATGGGCATCTTAGATAGGCAGGGTTGCATTTTAAGCAGCCTAAACACTCTTGTAGAGTAGCGAAACAGTATTGGAAAAGAGTACATGCTGTGTTGCAACAAATATTGCTCTGTAAGGTGCCATTAACCCCAGAACTGTTTTTATTGAGTATGATACCTGATAACATAGATAAGACAAAGGAGTATATAGTAGTTATATACATAGTCACTGCAGCCAGAATTTTATATGCCAAAAATTGGAAAAGTCCGACGGTACCGAAACAAGAAGATCTTATAGAGAAGATAAGGGAAACAGCGGAAATGAACATTTTATCAGAAGTGATGAAGGACTGTCCTTTCCAAAAGGCAACTGAAAGATGGGACTTATTCTATAAATGGGACATCGTATGAAGAGCGTACAGTGAAATGAGAACTTAAATCTGGAAGGCAGAAAATAGTAAGAAGAGCAATTTGGAATTTTGATATGGCAAAATGTATAGAATTGATGTCAGTATGTTATTGTTTCTCCTTTTATTTATTTATTTATTTATTTATTTATTTATTTATTTATTTATTTATTTATTTATTTATTTATATCCTGCCTATCTGGACCTGCCTATCTTTTCCCCCTTAACCTTAATTCCCTTTTTCCTTTCTGTCACCCCTTGTTATAAATAAATTTTAAAAAAGCAGCCTAAACACTCTTTAAAGTGTTTAATTTACAATTTAAATGGCCAATTAACCAACACAATGAATTATTAGAATTCTATTTAGCTAAAAAATTACCACTCTCATCTAGATGAAAATGAGGGTGAACTTGTTAAATGACAAGAGGCAATTGACAAACTTCATAATCAGAACATCATTGGCCAAAACCGGGCTAAACAGAAGGAAGGAAATGCCAACAGGGCTAAACTACATGAGTTCAAAATTAAAATAATGGAACAGAAGAAACTGTCAATGCAGAGAACCCTACCTCATTTCCCATCTGTGTCCGTTATTCAGAATGGTGAGCTGATTACTAAAGGCATGACGGGGAAAGTAATAGAAGTTGTAGAGCAAAGATGATGCAATCATGTCTGGTGCAAGACAACTAAACTGCTAGCAAAGAATTAGTTGCACTTTTTACATTTTGGACAACATAGTTGGTCTCATATCTCATCTGCCCAAAGAGGCAGTGAGAAAAAAAATTGTTTTTCTAAATAAAGGCCCTACGAAGGAAGGAAGGAAGGAAGGAAGGATCTGAAGTTAAAACACTTCCAGGCAGACCACCTTAATGACAAATGTTTTCTTCTGCACTGGCATATACAACAGTATATTCTCTCTCTCCCTCATATGAAGTCATTAACGGAGTGCACAGGATTTGAGTAGGCACATAACTCTTCGCTTATTTTATAATATTTGAAAAAATTTCTTCTTGCTGGATAAAAGTAAAAATTTCTCATTAAAAACTACAAAAAAAGTTAAAAAATTGTAGAAAAGGTGTGGGTTTTTTTGCACAAACACCTTGTATTTTGCATGGAAAGCCTTCTATTTATATAGGAAAACTTGTACAGTGGTGCCCCGCATAGCGAGGTTAATCCGTTCCGGATTAACCTTCGCTATGTGAAAACATCGCTGTACGGGGCAGGAAAAGCCTATTGGAACACATTAAACTTAGTTTAATGCGTTCCAATAGGCGCCAAAACTTACCCCTCCAGCGATGTTTTCGCGGTCCGGTGGCCATTTTGGAGCCACCGATCAGCTGTTCGGCGGCTCCAAAATGGCCGCCAGATGACCCGAAATGGCCCCCTGTCAGTGTTTTCGCGCCCTCCCCTTGCTTACCGAGGTCGCGAAAATGCTGCGGGGGGGGGCATTTTGGGTCGTCCGCAGCCATTCCCCAAAAAGGAATCGCTATACGGATTCTTTGTTATACGGTGCGCTTGTTAAGCGAGGCACCACTGTATATTGTAGAAAAAGCATGTTTTGTGTAATCTGCAAGGGGTTTAATGCAAAATGCAATGTTTTCTCCCACATTTTCTTCTTTTTTGTAAATACCAGTGCTGACAAAAAAGAGAGAGAAAGCTAGTATTTTTACACTTTTCAAAAACGTCATATTGGATGCCTATTTTTTTTTCTCAGTAGACTGTCTCAAAATATTTTATTATTATATGCGCCATCAGGTCACATCTGTCTTACAGTGGCCCTAACAGTTTTTAAGGTATGTGAAATATTTAAGGAATGTCTTTGCCAGTGTGCCATTTCTCTTGAGTTTCCATAGTCATCGGGGGGGGGGGAATTGAACCCAGACCCCATGATTTATAATCTGTCTCTTTATCCAATACACAACAGCATATTCTCTCTCTCTCTTTCATATGAATTCATTAATGGAATGTCCATTTTTATGTCACCAAAAAGTCACCTTGTACACATAAGAGGGTATTAGCAAGTTTGGGGTTATGGAACCCCGAAGTCTGCAGAACTATTTTGGGAAAAATCTTAAAGGGGAGACTAATCTACATAGTGGGCATGGTATGCTGAGGGACGTTTGTGGTTATGTGGACATTAAAAAGTAAGGATAGATAAACGGAATGGATAGAAACCTAAAAAGAACACCTTACCCCACAGCCTTCTGTTGCACACTTAATAAGTAAAATTAAAGTTTGTTTAAAATGTATACTGTATTCCAAATTCAAAAGAAGAGTTTAGGTATACAGGAGATGCCATGCTTAAGGTCTTGAGGTTGACTGCAACATTACATTCAGAACTACATTATTAGCCTTGGCACTGTAAGACTATGGTTACTACATCTACTTCTTAATATTTATATGCTTTACCAGAAGATGAATTTTTCCAATAATTTGCATTTTACCTTGACTGCATAAAGGCAATAACTCGATTAGACCATGTGGCAAAGAAATTCACTCCAATAATGAGGTCTTCAATCCAGGATCCAAGAGATTTACGTGTCTTGTAGGAATGTTGCTATTGGATAACGGCAAACAAAGCACAACTGCTTGTTTGGGGAAAATGCAAACATAAAATAGTTTCTCATCCATTATTCTCAGTCCCACCCATGGAAAGCATTCGGTGTGAACTCTAAGCTGCTTCACAATGGAGTTAAATGGAAAAGTTGGGGGGAGATAAAGCACCTGCCTAACTAACCATGAATCAATCATGATGACAAACAGGATGATGGACATTGCCAAATCAATCTTGCATATACTGTACTGTATACCATGGTCGACAGATGTTCCCTTTCACAACAATGTTTCCTCAGAGATACATGCCTGAATTATCAGACTTGCAAATTAATCCTGTTTAGCTTCCATTGACCAGTCACAAACAAAGCGCACTAAGTGCAAAAGATGCAGTCGAGGACAGTCAGCTGCATACAAACAGACCATCTTCCTGGAAGCATCTCTCTGCTAATACTGTTTTTCCTATTGTCTACTTTGACCCTAAATGATATCACATTCTGTTATTATGAAATAAAGAGCTTCTCTGCAAAAGAGCAAATCCATTTTTCAAAGGTTCTATTGCAAATAAAAGAGAATGTCCTCTCATCTACTCCAGCACTGAGGATGTGATATCTTTGGAGAATGTTCATTGGGTGGGTGGCTCTGTTTGTTTACCTGTATGTGGACTGGATTTTATAATTGCAATATGACAAATCATAAAAATTCCTGACAACAAATATTGAACATTAGCTTTTGTAGTGAAGAGAGCCTGACATTTCCTCACAAATTCATTCTGTAAATAAATTTATTTTGAGATATATAGTTTATACTGTATATATATATATATTGCAATCCGTTGCTTTTAAAACAAAATATTTTAGTTCTCTAACATACTGTAGATGTCAGGATGTTCTGGTCAGTTTATTACACATAAACGAGAATATAGAATCAAAATGGTAACTATGCATTCCTTTAATGCTTTGCATTCCATAACATCTCTCATAAAGAAACATGCAATATAAGTTTGTTGCATAGCAAGAAGATCATAGCCACCAATTACAACAGTGAAAACAAACTGTGGGTGGTTATTCACCTACCTGCCACAATTGTGGCACTTTGGCTTTTAATATTGAATGATAAATCTCCTCTAGTCCCGTGGTGAAAATTATATCACCTTTGATACTTTGTTGAAGTGAATGTAATGAATGAATTATTGTGGACAACAGATGATTATACTGGTCAATCTCCTGTTGTAATACAGTTAACAAAGCTGAATTGGTAAAAGAACCAGGACCTATAATGAAACAATGAAACAAATAAACAAAACATGTTATTCTGCAGGCCTTTAAACCAACACAGCAGTGCCAGTCTAGGCAACCATAGTTGCTACATTAGCATTATTTAAGGGCAGATAGCTATCGATTATTTGACGTATTTGCTGAAATCCTGTTCTCTAACATACACTATGTAAGGCAGGCCATCAGCCATGGCAATTTTTTTTTCAAACATAAAATATTTCCAATCCTCCTCTCAGAGTTCCCAAAGTTCCTATGGGCCCCTTTCAACATGGGGAAGCCATTGGCAGAAGTATTTTTTCCATGTATAAAACAACACCTTTTCCTAAAATAATTAAAGGAAAAATTGAGGGTTGTTTTATACTTGGAAGTAAGGAGGGAGGAGGGATCAAAGTGATCCCTCTATTTTCTTTGCAAAGCGTAGAGGGGGAAAGCTGATTTTTGCAACAAAAATGTAGGGGGAAAGCCAAGAATCACTTTTGCCTTCTACTTTCTTGCAAAGAAAGAAATTTTGGGTTAGAAAAGTGGGGGGGCGTCTTATACATGGAAAAATATGGTAATTTCTGGAAATTGCTGCTAATGGGATGATTTTACTGGTGGCAGCAATCTCCAGAAATTATAGTCTTCTCCTGTCCTGGACCCTAAACATCTTCCCCATTATGAAAGGGATCCCACAGGTGCCATGGGACCTTTGGGATGGAAGAAGAATTGTTTTATTTCTGAGAAACAGTTGCAACCAGCCTTTTTTGCGTATTTTATTATTTTCATTTATATCCTGTTCTCTGTCCAAAAACAACTTAACGACTAAACAAAAATAACAAATAATCAAATAATACCTCACATAATAATAAAAATGCAAATAAAAATTAGCAACAGCCTAAAGCCTACTAGATACTTTTATTATACTAGATACTTATTTCTGAGAAACAGTTGCAACCAGCCTTTTTTGCGTATTTTATTATTTTCATTTATATCCTGTTCTCTGTCCAAAAACAACTTAACGACTAAACAAAAATAACAAATAATCAAATAATACCTCACATAATAATAAAAATGCAAATAAAAATTAGCAACAGCCTAAAGCCTACTAGATACTTTTATTATACTAGATACTTTTATTATACTAGATACTTTTATTATATATATATATATATTGTGAAATCCTATAGGAATGCTGAATTTTGCAGGGACTCTGGAAAATAATTCTAAAATATAGAGGTGACAACATTAAAGGATGGTTTCCCAGTATATTCAAGCCAGACAGTTTGAAACTTACAAATGTAACCTATATGGCATAATAGTTGGAATCTTTAGAAGAACAGTTCCAGACAACTTTAACTGGTGCAGGGGTTCAATGCCATGTAGGACTTTAAATGTAATAATCAAAACCTTGGTTTTAACCCCCAAAATGACTTGCAGCCAATGGAGCTGGTACAAATTAGTTGTCAAAAGATCATGATGTAAGGTACTTACTAATAGGCTAGTAAACACATGTACCAGCTGTAGCTTCCAAGTTGTCTTCAAGAGTATCCCAATATAGAGTTAATTAAAATAGTTTAATCTTGAGATTAGTATGGGTTAGTATCAGCCTGTTTTGAAACTCCCAAATGCAACCTATATGGCATAACTCCATGAACAGGATTTCAGCCAGCTTATGTCTACCAGGAGAGAGTAAAATACATGTGTTTTTGGCCTCAGATATAGGAATGGGCTGTAGCTTTAAAAGAGATTTATAATTCATTAATTTTTTCCCCTGATGTTCAACTTGTTTGAACAAAATATATTTTATATGAAATGGGCCAGGTAAATTGTTTTTAGTTGTACAAAGGAATTGTTGTACAGATATCCAGATGACACAATTGGCACCTTGATGTGTGTTTGACAATGAACACTGCATGGTTTACCTTAGGAACCTCATTGGTTCCTAGATTGCTAGCTATGAAGTCAAGTAGTGGCAAAAGACCAAAAACAATATAACTGTATTCATGTCCCTATAGCCTAAACTAAGAATCAAAATTCTAAATACCATATTTTTCCATCTATAAGATGCTATTTTTTCCTAAAATTATTACATTAAAAAGTGAAGGGCATCTTTTACATGGAAGTAAGCTGAGATAGCTGAGGAGAGCACACACCTTGCCTCTGTAAACGGGCTTCAGTCACAAGGCTTAGCTCACTACAGTCAGGAGACTTCCTCCAATCATGAGTCTTATGGAACTGATGTCAGCTGATCCTGAACAAACCAATTGGAACACGCCTCCTTGGAGGTGGGGTCTGTAGGTTCAGATTCAACAGAGACTCAAAATATCCGATGTTCTGAGCCCAGAGGCTAAACCCTCAAAGCTAAGTATTCTATTAATTCTTGGGTTAGAAAATTGGGAGGGCATCTTATAAATGGGTGGTGGTGTTATAAACGGAAAAATATGGTAAGTATTTATCCACACAAGACAAAACAATTTTAGCATACAACTCTTGGAAAGTAGTATCTTTTTTTACTTATGCATGTATGTACTTATGTTGAGAAAAATTAGGAAAAGGCCATGTGGTCCTCAAGATTCTCCAAATCCAAGAGTTATATGCCATCAAGTTGAAATCATCTTATAGTGCCCCTGCCAGGATTTTTAAGGTTAATATGGTATTGTGAGTGGTTTTACCAGTTCCATTGCCCCAGTGAGTTTTCATGGCCAAATGGGGAATTGGACCTTGTTTTCCAGAGTCCGAGTCTGTCACTCTATCCACTATACCACACTGAGTACTTAATTACTCTGTAATCATCCCTCCTCTGTAGCCACACATTGTCTGTTTCTGAAACACAGTTCCTGGGTGGAATATTCCAACCATGCTGCCAGAGGTGAGTCTTGAGACCATGCCCCCAGGGGTAGTTTGCAGTTCTAATTTGAACTCACTTCAAGCAGATGTAGCACAGACATCTGCCATGAACTCAGGGAATTTTTAGGGCCTGTCCAGATGGTGTAACTTAGAGCAGTCTGATTTGCACTTTAAAGGTTCTTATCTTCAATGTGATCTATTTTGTTTTTCACTTGAGCGATCCTTCCATTAGCACTGACATTCACACCAGAGGTATTTATTCTCCTGTGAGATCCACAGACATCTTTGTATTGCTAGTTTATTCATGAGCAAAGTTTACCCAGTTTACTTGTGAGTAAAGAGGCAGCAGCCAAGGACAGCAGTGGCATGAAGACTATACATTGGGGTAAAGCTTGGAGACAGAAGGCAGGCAACCCTCCCCCTTTTCTTGCTATTCTCCCAAGCTGGGGCTCTGCTGTGCAACCTTACGGAGGCGGAGCCCATGGAGTCGACATAGCCCCTTTCCCCACCTTTTCATGCAGCCATAATTAAGCAGGCCACAGTGACTTTCTTTTAGAATCATTTAATTAATTAATTGTTATAAATTTCTTTAGAACTTGTTATCCTTATGTTGTAAGCCGCCTAGAGTGGTCAAAATAACTAGATAGGCAGGGTATAAATAAATAAATAAATAAATAAATAAATAAATAAATAAATAAATAAATAAATAAATAAATAAAAATTTGTTGTTAAAGTGGCAAATTGAAACAGAAATGCTTCAATCTAGTGTGGTATTAGAATTGGGCTGTGTCAGTTAAGGAACTTTTTTTTAAAAAAAGATGCAAATAGAGGAAGGGTTTCTCTATCCTTGCTTTTAATGTCACAACCCACCTAATACGTCATAGGATAGTCACCTCAGATACTTCCACCCACCTCAGATACTTCCATCCAATTTTCTAACCCTAGGTCCATTTGGGTGTGAAATAACCATCTTCATAGGCTACATGATGAAATAATTAGGAGTGTGTTTAATTGTGCCACTATTCCAGAAAGGTGCAAAACAGCTTTTAAAGGGGCTGGATGGATCAATCTAAGTAGAAACACATGTGAATGTCATACTTTTGTTCAAATGAAACCATACCAACAGTGATCTGTATGCCCATCTGGACGGCCCTTATTTACAGTTTTTCTGCACTATCCATAAATATTGGTTCATAAAACTGAAGAATTAGAATTTTATCTACAAAAGCTGGCTGTTGGTTCAATTTTCTAGTGGTCTAATAAAGGTATTGTCTATTCTTGCATTTATATTTATGTTATACATCAGTGGTTCTTAACCTTTGTTACTTGGATGTTTTTGAACTGCAACTCCCAGAAACCCCAGCCAGCACAGTTGGTGGTGAAGGCTTCTGGGAGTTGCAGTCCAAAACTCCTGAGTAACCCAAGGTTAAGAACCAGTGTTATACATTATACTTTGTTTATCACCAGATTAAGTTCATTCTCACGTTAAATTATCTGGACTACAGTTCTGACCTTCTGTAGCTTTCACAAGTGCTGCCCAAACAGGGCCTGCTTTGAAGCTTGCAAATGAATCTCTTTTAGTTCTGCTATCTTCAATTTCAGAGACTTGTTCTGTATCTTCTACAGTCAATGGTAATTTTATTAGAATATCAGATGCTATTTCTAGCACTATTTCATCCTGACTCTTTCTACCACTAGGAGAAAGGAAAAAAGAAACAGATATGAAATTACCAGTACAGTACAAAATTTACAGTACATTCATAAATTGCCTTTAATCATACTTAATATTCTCGATTCTTAATATTCAAGAAACAAAAGAAAGTGACCTGACAATGAGGGTGTCTGTGCTAACTGCTGGCTGGATACTGACAACTGAATGTAGAAATAACTCTGCTTGAGTTTTTAAGTATGCTCTTTCAGCACAGTGATGCATTCCAAAAAGCTCAGGTGAATCAGCCTCTGGAAGAGAACGTATATAGGCTCTACAGTCTCTTAAAGTATCTGTTTCAGAGATGGGTCGATATACCTGAAAAATGACAGATGGATTTTATTGTTTCTTTATAAAACAAAACAAAACAAAACATTAAAAATACAAAACCACAAAAATACAGTAGCACCTTAAAGATGTATTTCAGTGCGAGCGTTCGTTGATTACAATCCACTTCTTTGTCACAAGTTTATGTACAGTATAGTATTAACTGCTAGTATTAACACAAAATCAGATGTGAAACGAATGCTAAATACATAAACACTCCAGCTGTTTCTACAGCAATATGTGAAATATTCTGACCATATCATGCTCTGAGCATTGCTCCAAATGAATAATGAATAGAACAGGGATATAGACTGTGATCAGCGTTCTCTCTGTCTGTACTTGTCTTGCAGCAATACTCTCAAACAATGAGAACCCCAACAACTGGGGGGGGCAGATGTGAAACCATGGTCTCAGAATCCACTCCCCCCACCTTCTCATTCTCTCTCTCTCTCTCAAAAAACAACAATAACAACAACAACAACAACACTGAAAGCGCTCAATTATACAGTGGTGCCTTGACTTACGAATGCCTTGACCTATGAACATTTTGACTTATGAACTGCTCCATTCTCAAAATTTTGCTTTGACGTGCAAATGGAAAAATGCAGGGAAAAGGGGCGGGAGATTCAAATATACTAACTGTTGATGGCGAAGAGGCTGCTGCTTTGTAGTTCTTTCACCTAAGGGTTCAGGAAAGGGATGTGGTGGCGGAAGCGGGAGTGGCCCAGTGCTGGGAGGCAGGAGCCCGGGAAATTCAAATGGTCTCCCGGCCGGGCTCTACCTTCCAGCGCTGGGTCTGTCCCTGCTGCTTGCTTCCCAGCCAGCTGGGAAGTGAACAGTGGGGACGGACCCAGCGCCAGGAGGCGAGGACCCATCCTGGACAGGCGGTGGTGGCAGAGCCCAGGCCAGGCAGTGGTGGAAACATGGGAGGCCTCCCAGACGCCTCCCACCAAGGGTGGTCGGAGTGGCAGTGGAGCCCGGGAGGCTGAGCACGGCCAGGAGGCTTCAGAGGAGGCTTCATGGTGAGGTAAGGTGCTTTTTGCATTTTAAAAACTGTTTTGGGTGGCTTTTTCAAGGTGGGATTGGGCTGGTGGGGTTATGTTTATTTATTTATTTTTTTTGCAGCCCCAGGGGCTTGCAGTGTTTTATTTTTTTTGTTTTGTTTTGTTTTTTGGTATTTTTTTGAAATGCTGGAATGGATTAATTCCGTTCCCATGCATTTCAATGGGAAATGGTGCTTTGACTTACGAACGTTTTGATTTACGAACACCATTCCGTTACGGATTAAGTTCATAAATCAAGTCACCACTGTATCTCATTAGTTAAAACCAGGAATGTTGCTGGAGTGCAACCGCTATCATCTCTTACCATAGGCTATGCTGATGAGTTTGCAGTCCTACATTTGAAGGGCTGCATCTTTCCCTTCCCTACTTTAACCCGAGTTTCCAAAATTCAAAGATAGCCATTGTTCCATGACTGCTTTTGCTTTTTTCTTCTTTTGGCCCTGTGTCTTGATTTCCAGAATGAAGTTACAGTAGGTAACTAGGACTCTGCTCTACAGAGCTCATTTAAAATGGATCAACATGGGGGAACATCAGGGTCAAAATGTTCAAAGTGCCCAAAGTGGCTATAATATTAATGGTGCTGGAGGAATCCACACCTACTAAAGTTCTGTAATAGAAAACTACAGTTCTGTAATGGAGAACTACACTAGTAGACATTTTCCGTGTTTTCTTTTTAATTCTAAAAAAGAAGCAGAGGGGAGAAATGTGAGCACAAGGCCAAGTTCAAGCCTTGCTATCCCTCATGCAGGCAGCAGTATGTAACAGTTTCCTGTTCAGTCTAAATTAGTCCTATATATATAGAATGATAAGAGTTTGAATGTACCTTGAGATTATCCAATTTTGCCTTTCATCAGTATACCACCTACAATGCAGTTATAGCCTCTAGGGCAACAGAGTATCAGTTTAATTCATCTTGTCTGTTAACAAATTACAAAATACAGTGATGCCTCGCAAGACGAATGCCTCGCGCAATGAAAAACTCACAAGACGAAAGTGTTTTCAGATTTTTTTGTTGACTCGCAAGACAAATTTTTCTATGTTCGTGCTTTGCAAGATGATTTGTTTGCATTTTTTTGTTTGGGTTTCAGTGCATTCCTATGGGAAACTGCGCTTCGCAAAACGAAATTTTCACAATACAAAATGACTTGTGGAACAAATTATTTTCATGTTGCATCACTGTACTGTTTACTCCCCACTCCCCAAAATAATTATTTCTTCTTCAGACTTCACCTCTCCATCTCTTTCAAACTTTAAAGATACATGCTATTAAAGCAACTGTGATGCTGAAGAAAATAAATAATTCTCATACCCAGTCTACAGAATATGCAAAATCTTCTTGTAGCACAGAAGGGTTGTAAAAATTGTCCAAAAGGCTAAGCAAGCACCGGCGATCCCAGCTATCAGTTACACGGCCCCCGTATGCTACTTCTCCTGTCAAATAACGTAGAGCTGCCCAGGAGATCTTCTTTTGTTTCTCAAGAAGCATCTCAAGTATCTGGATGGAAATCTTGGAAAGAAAAGGTCATCAGTATTCTTTCTCCCCATTCTTTCTTTCTTTCTTTTTTCCCAAGAAGGCAAGACACGGAATCAAAACAACAACAGCCAGGATATGAATTTAGCATGCTTAATATGACTTTAGATTTGCATCTCTTGAATACCAGTGTCTTCTGTCATTCAAAACTGAGTGGAGTTCAAAAGCAATCAATGGGGTGGAAAGAGTGCATCCTGATTAAAGTGGTTGAAGGAAGTTAAAATCATAACAGGCACATCCATGCATAAAACAGTAACTTGGATCCCAGACTATATGACAAAACTCTGCGTGTAAATTATTTTCTAACCAATCCTGCTGCTATAGTTACATACCATTCATTGTCTTCTGGGGCAGATCTATATGAAATTCAGTTCCTATACCAGTTCTAATTAAGGACTCTCAACCTTAAATATTTTCCCACCCTCCTCTGAATTTTAACAATGCTTGAAGCATTAATTTGTGATAAATAGACTGTTTCACAGAATTCTAGGAGTCATTCTTCTTCATTTCTGTTGCTAGACCAAAACTTCGAAAAACATTTGGTTTGCTTTGTTTCCCACTTAACTGTTCTAGTCACCTACAATTACAGGTGTGTCTAGTTTTGGTGTGTGATCAATTTCCTCTTGGATGTTTGTGTAGAAGCTTTCAGTTTTATCTTCTTTATCTGTAGATGGAGCATAGACTTGAATTATGGTTATGTTGTTTTTCCAGAAGTCGGAGGGATATTATCAGGTCAGACTTTCCTAACTGCCTGTGCTACATCTTGCATCAGTGTTAGAGCTGCTCCATTTTTGTCATTTCCAAAGTAAAACCTTTTGCAGTGGTGTGACTGAAAATATCCCATTCCAATCCACTGTAGTTCACTGATACCAAGCGCTGCAATGTTTGTATGTTCATTTCTTTTCTGCTTTCCAATTTACCTTGATTCAAGCTTCTCACTTTCCATATTCAAATTGTGTTTGTTGTGCAGCATCAGACTTTCTTTTCACTTCTATGCATTTCAACCACTAGTCATCCTTTCGGCTTTAAACTAATTGCATAATTAAAACAATGCTATTTGTTAATAACTTGTTTGTTAACAAATTTGTTATCTGCTCTTCCCCAGTAGCTGCTTTTCAACCTGGGGACTCATCTTTCAGCACTATCTCTTGTTTTATTTAAGGCTGTTTCATCACAGGGTTGTCAAAGTAAGAAAAGTTCAGTAGTGGTTTATCATAGCCTTCTTCTGCACAGTACTAACAAAAGTTACCTTGAATGTCACTGCCATTGTCTGTGAAAGATCTCCTACCAGCACTGCCTTCAGCTACTGCCCAGTAGCTGTCCTCCAGAATTCTCTCCACCCTCATCACCATTGGAACTATCCATTCTCTTCTACTGAAGCAATTACTCCTGAATAGGGTAGACACATCTTAGCCTGGTGGCTCAGTTGTGAACATTGCACCTTGCATGACCCTGCTAGAAGTCCAAGGTTGTAATAAGTCTATCCCCCTGATGACATTGCTGTCTGCTTCTCTGACACACAAACCCTCTCATCATGTTAATCTATGTATCCAAGAAGGGAATATATACATTAGAGTTCACAAAAGAGAGGAGATGCAATAATTAAACTTGTAGGTAAGGGGACCATACCATACAGACAGAGCTGAGCTCCTTAAATACTGTCTCCACCTTCTCAACAACATTAATCTCTATAGTGTTGATGGCTAGGGATGTAGATGTCGCCACTATTATTGGAGGAATGGTTTTTAACAGGCTCAAATAAGTCTCAGTAGAGGCAATAAAGAATGTGCAGAAAAGTAAAGGGAACAGGATATGTCAGAAAAACAATCTACTTGGCTTGCCTTTCTGTTTGGTAGGTATGGTGATATTTTTCCTGTGAGAAACACAATAAAGGCAGACAGAGAATGAGAAATAAAACTTTGTGAGAATTTTCTTTTTAAACAACTGGAATCCTTAAGGAGGAGGGAAAAAGAGAAAGGCTCAAGAAATCTATGAAAAAGAAAATGTCTCAATAGCGAAGGCAAAGACTGCTGCGCTCAGAAGTCTGTCCTGATCTATGGCAGAGAAAAACTGGGTGAGGAGGTATGTGTGTATCAGATATAAATGCCTTTCCTTATTTGCTAACCCCTGCCTTGCCTGGAAAGCAAGAAAAGATTAACCCTGGTTGGCTCCTTTCTGGAGACCAAGAATTCCATATATACAGTAGCAGTGAGCTCTGGACACCACAGAGCACTATACTATGGAGATAAGGAAACAAAATTAAAACAATCATGAAAAGAAAGTGTGAACAGTTGCATTTCAAAGGGGAGCTAGAAAGTTGTAACAGAGAAAGAAAGTCAGGCGGAAGTATATTCGTGTAATATATATCAGCATATAAAAATAATTCAGGTAGAGAACATATAAGCACTTTTTAACTATTGTATCTCACAGATATATGGAGAAGGGGGAGCATTGCTAGGCACAGTTAGAAAGTGGGTTGGATCAAGTAAGTATTGGAAGAATTTGGAATGTTCTTATTCCTCTTTTAGTACAGATAAAAGCAGTCTCTCCACTTCCCTTGGAAAAGGAAAAATAATAAGTCTAGATGCTTGGTTAACAAGGAAAAAAACTTTCACTTACAGTTAATGGCTTTTTTCTTTTATGCATATAGTGTACAGCCATAGCTCTACATGTATATCTTTAGAGAGCATAAGAGAGAAAAGAGTAAGGTGGCTAGCAAAGCAACAGGCAATCGAGGCATAGACAATAAATCTCAATTCAGTGGTAGATACAGAGAACACTCCTCATAGACAGCCAGTATGTGTGCAATATTGTGTTTTTCCAACAGTAAGTTCCTTTGATCAAGAGAAGGCCTCATTTAATCAGCAGAGCTTCCCCACTCTTTGAATGGGAGAGCAGGTGCTCTTGGTTAATTCTCTCACCTCCACATTCCTCCTGCAGTCCCATATAAACCCAAATTTGATGTAGAGATTTGGTGCAGCAAAACAGTGGGGGTTTGGGGCTGCAGAAGAAGTATCAACAAAGATTATCTTCCTCTCACTTTCTCCCTTCACGGATTGCTGCCTTGTCGTGGTGAAGGGGTTTGAGTAATTCAGAGAAGCTATGGGCTATGCCGTGCAGGAACACCCAAGACAGACAGGTCATAGTGGAAGTTCTGACTAAATGCCATCCACCTGGAGCAGGAACTGGCAAGCCACGCCAGTATCTTTGCCAAGAAAACCCCATGAAAAGAAACAAAAAGCTAAAAGATATAACGTTGGAAGATGGGCCCCTCAGGTCGGAAGGCGTCTAACATGCTACTGAGGAAGAGCAGAGGACAAGTATAAGTAGCTCCAGAGCTAATGAAGTAGTGGTTGGCCAAAGCCGAAAGGATGCTCAACTGTGGACGTGACGGGAAGTGAAAGGAAAGTCTGATGCTGCAAAGAAAAATACTGCATAGGAACCTGGAATGTAAGATCTATGAACCTTGGTAAGCTGGATGTATTCAAACAAGAGATGGCAAGAATAGACATTGACATCCCGGGTGTCAGTGAACCAAAGTGGATGGGAATGGGCGAATTTAGTTCTGACGATTATTATATCTACTATTGTGGACAAGAGGGACATGATGGTGCTGTGGGCTAAACCGCAGAAGCCTGTGCTGCAGGGTCAGAAGACCAGCAGTCGTAAGATCGAATCCACGCGATGGAGTGAGCTTCTGTCGCTTTGTCCCAGCTCCTCTAGTTTGAAAGCATGCAAATGCGAGTAGAAGAATAGGTACCATCTCGGTGGGAAGGTTAAACGGCGTTCCCTAGTCATGCTGGCCACGTGGCAATGGAAACTGTCTTCGGACAAGCGCTGACTCTACGGCTTGAAAAGCAGGATGAGCACCGCCCCCTAGAGCTGGACACGACTGCACTAAAAATGTCAAGGGGAACCTTTACCTTTACCTATTGTGGACAAGAATCCCGTAGAAGAAATGGAGTAGCTCTCAAAGTCAGCAAAAGAATGGGAAATGCTGTACTGGGATATAATCTCAAAATGATAGAATGATTTCAAAACAAAGCCAATGCAGACCTTTCAACATCACAGTAATCCAAGTTTATACACCAACCACCAATGCTGAAGAGGCTGAAATTGACCAATTCTATCAAGACTTACAACATCTTCTAAAACTGACACCAAAGAAAGATGTTCTTGTCAGTATAGGGGACTGGAATACTAAAGTAGGGAGTCAAGAGATAAAAGGAACAACAGGAAAGTTTGGGCTTGGAGTTCAAAACAAAGCAGGGCAAAGGCTAATAGAGTTTTGTCAAGAGAACAACCTGGTCATCACAAACACTCTTTCCCAACAACACAAGATGCGACTCCACACATGGACATTACCAGATGGGCAATACCAAAATCAAATTGATTATGTTCTCTGCAGCCAAAGATGGAGAAGCTCTAAACTGTCAGCAAAAACAAGACCTGGAGCTGATTGTGGCTCTGATCCTCAGCTTCTTATACCAAAACTCAAGCTTAAATTGAAGAATGTAGGAAATACAACTGGACTAGTCAGGTATATACTAGTCAGGTATATGAATACACAGTGGAATTGAAGAACAGATTTAAGGAACTAGATTTGGTGAACAGAGTACCTGAAGAACTATGGATGGAGGCCCGTAACATTGTACAGGAGGCAGCAACAAAAACCATCCCAAAGAAAAGGAAATGCAAGAATGCAAAGTGGCTGTCCAACGAGGCCTTACAAATACCAGAGAAGAGAAGGGAAAAATGCAAGGGAGATAGGGAAAATTACAGAAAACTGAATGCAGACTTCCAAAGAAAAGCAAGGATAGACAAGAGCGCCTTAAATGAACAGTACAAAGAAATAGAGGAAAATAATAGAAAGGGTAAAACCAGAGGTCTGTTCAAGAAAATTGGAGATGTTAAAGGAACATTTTGTGCAAAGATGGACATGACAAAGGACAAAAATGGGAGGGACCTAGCAGAAGCAGAAGACATCAAGAAGAGGTGGCAAGAATACACAGAGGAATTACTGGATGTCCCAAACAAACCAGAAAGTGTGGCTGCTGACCTTGAGCCAGACATCCTGCAGAGTGAAGTCAAGTGGGCCTGAGAAAGCATGGCTAACAACAAGGCCAGTGGAGGTGATAGCATTCCAGTTGAACTATTTAAAATCGTAAAAGATGACGCTGTTAAGGTGCTACACTCAATATGACAGCAAGTTTGGAAAACTCAGCAGTGGCCAGAGGACTGGAAAAGATCAGTCTACATCCCAATCCCAAAGAAGGGCAATGCCAAAGAATGCCCCAACTACCGCACAATTGCACTCATTTCACACGCTAGCAAGGTTATTCTCAAAATCCTACAAGACAGGCTTCAGCAGTATGTAGACTGAGAACTCCCAGAACTACAAGTTGGATTTCAAAGGGGCAGAGGAACTGGAGACCAAATTGCTAACATGTGCTGGATTATGGAGAAAGCCAGAGAGTTCCAGAAAAACATCTACTTCTGCTTCATTGACTACGCAAAAGCCTTTGACTGTGTTGACCACAGCAAACTATGGCAAGTCCTTAAAGAAATGGAAGTGCCTGACCACCTTTTCTGTCTCCTGTGAAATCTATATGTGGGACAGGAAGCAACAGTTAGAACTGGATATGGAACAACTGATTGGTTCAAAATTGGAAAAGGAATACGACAAGGCTGTATATTGTCCCCTGGCATATTTAACTTATATGCAAAATACATCATGCGAAAGGCTGGACTAGAGGAATCCCAAGCCAAAAGTAAGATTGCCGGAAGAAATATCAACAACCTCTGATACGCAGATGATACCACTCTAATGGCAAAAAGTGAGGAGGCATTAAAGATGCTCTTAATAAGGGTTAAAGAGGAGAGTGCCAAAAATGGTCTGAATCTCAACATCAAAAAACTAAGATCATGGCCACTGATCCCATCCCCTCCTGGCAAATAGAAGGGGAAGATATGGAGGCAGTAACAGATTTTACTTTCCTGGGCTCCATGATCACTGCAGATGATGACAGCAGCCACGAAATTAAAAGATGCCTGCTTCATGGGAGGAAAGCGGTGACAAACCTAGACAACATCTTAAAAAGCAGAGATATTACCTTGCCAACAAAGGTCCACATAGTCAAAGCTATGGTTTTCCAGTAGTGATGTATGGAAGTGAAAGCTGGACCATAAAGAAAGCTGACCACCAAAGAATTGATGCTTATGATTTGTGGTGTTGGGAGAGGCTCTTGAGAGTCCCCTGGACTGCAAAGAGAACAAACCTATCCATTCTAAAGAAATCAACTCTGAGTGCTCACTGGAAGGACAGATCCTGAAGCTGAGGCTCCAATACTTTGGTCATCTGATGAGAAGAATCCCTGGAAAAGACCCTGATATTGGGAAAGTGTGAAGACAAGAGGAGAAGGGGACAAGAGAGAATGAGATGGTTGGACAGTGTCATCAAAGGTACCAACATGATAGACCAAGTGCATAAAGATCTAATGGAGATAAATCAGATGCACAAAATGGTTTCAGAGGGCACAAAAGATGGCAGAATGCTTATAGAGATAGAAACAAAAAGAGAAATAAGAGAGCTAATTACTTAGAAAGATGGAAAAGGGAAAAATTGGAAGGGGGGCCTTAATATTGAAAAGCATGTATATATCTAACTTTGGGAATTGTAAAGAAGCATATCCTTTATATTAAAAAGGAGAATTAAATTGAAATAAGTAGAGATAGAAACAAAAAGAGAAATAAGAGAGCTAATTACTTAGAAAGATGGAAAAGGGAAAAATTGGAAGGGGGGCCTTAATATTGAAAAGCATGTATATATCTAACTTTGGGAATTGTAAAGAAGCATATCCTTTATATTAAAAAGGAGAATTAAATTGAAATAAGGGAGCACTAACCAGGGTAAAGATGTAATATGGTGTTTTTTCTTTTTAGATAAATTAAACTAGATATAAGGTTGGGGCATGGATCTGGAGCTACTTTTATTCAGTATGTTATTAGAAGATCTTGAGAATATTGTTCATTATTAAAGTAATATTATAATAGTAGCCCATATTATATACTAAAATATGTACATGAATGGTTTGAATGTTTGAAAGATGTCTGGAATTTGGGGGGACAATTGGGAAGACACTGAGATGCAAAACAACCAAATAATTGTAAGCAAATCATGTAACATGATGTTTGATAAGCATAAATCGAATGTAGATATAGTGAAAAACTAATAAAATGTATTTTTAAAAAGCTGCCAACATGAATCTGACCCAACTCCAGCAGGCAGTGGAAGACAGGAGGGCCTGGCATGCTCTGGTGCATGGGGTCACGAAGAGTAGGACACGACTAAATGACTAAACAACAACAACACTTTTCCCAATGAAGAATTCTAATGAGTTTTCTGTGGCACACAATGGACTGTGTGTGAAACTGATATTTGCATTATAAAAATGAGAAAATACACCTTTCAGGCTCCAGTTTGCTTCCTGTATTACTACAAAGGAGGCAACTGAATCTGAATTGATTTTGATATATGACTGGAAACAATCCACTGTAGACACAGACTGGGAAGATCATGACTTGAGACACCCCTTAGAGGAGAAATAAACATTTAGGATTCCACCATATGACACTATTTTAATATGTACCATAATCTTCTTTGATCTTACCTCTAGGTCTGAAGAGCTAAATTCATAAGGAATGTTCCAGCCCAAGGCTCCATATTTCTTTCTTTCATGGATTACAGCATTAAAGAAGCATAGACTAAATAGTAGCCTTTTCCATGATGGCCCACAGGTAGTCTTATTGAATACTGTTTCTGTTACTAGTCCAGTGCCTCTTAACCCAAATGTCTGAAGTAATGTTGCCTTTATTCCTTGGGGAGGTTCTATTACTATCTTTAGAAATAAGCAGATAATTTATGAATAAAATAAGTACTGTATAATTATTTATGCTTGTAATATATATAAATAAGTATATATTGATTTGATAAAATGTTATTATTAATTAAATCACTTAATTATAAATGCTTGTCATTTAATGGAAATTCACTGAAACCAATAGGCCTCTCTTATACTAAGGTGTATTGCAGGGATATGAGGCATGTCAGGTCCACTGAAATTGAGCAGATTTTAGATTTAAAATGTGATCTTTGTTACTTAGTAGACTTGTTCTAGTGATATCTATCCCATAATCACAGGGCACCTAATGTACATAGCCAGTCAACTGAAAATAAGAACATCTTGCTTTTCTGTAATGATTGTTTTTCACCTAGCCATTTGTATATTAAGCTATACATGCACCTGTGCAGAAGTCTTTCTTGGATCATTTTAGAGCTGAGCTTACCCCCTCATCCCAGCTTGCATATAATTAAAGGATATGATTCTCAACTCTTCAGTCAGTTCCCTTGCCCATCACAGCAGTAGTTTGGTACAGAAAAATACATGAGACTCACACCCTGAAGGGCATGGCCACTTGCTTTCTCAGAATTATGAAGGTATTTCATGGCCATAAAGGCTGAAAAAAGATTCAGTTTCTTCAGACTTTTCAGGAACTTCTTTAAAAAGAAAGAAAAGAAAAGGAAAGGAAAGGAAAGGAAAGGAAAGGAAAGGAAAGGAAAGGAAAGGAAAGGAAAGGAAGGAAGGAAAGAAAGAAAGAAAGAAAGAAAGAAAGAAAGAAAGAAAGAAAGAAAGAAAGAAAGAAAGAAAGAAAGAAAGAAAGAAAGAAAGAAAGAAAGAAAGAAAGAAAGAAAGAAAGAAAGAAAGAAATGCTAAACAGAAGCATGAAAAGCAGCAATGGATGCTTAAAAAAATCACAAAGCATTAGACCAGTCTCCTTCAAAAATTAAAAGAACCAAAGAGGTACTGTTACATTGATATATGCCGGATGGGATCTACAGTGACAAAAAATGTTTATTAGTTGAAGAGATCTCATTTCTGCAATTCACACACTTGCAAAACAGGTTTCTGCTGGCCGCAGTCTACAAAATCTTTAAGTAATAGTCTACAGGGTGATTGACAATTAACAAGATGAATTTCTTCAGCTTGAAATTTTTTTTATTTAATTTTTTCAGAAAGGACAAGAGGATGTCTGTAGCAATAGTCCAAGGAGAACTGACTGACGAGGTAACTACATCCTTCAGGAAGAGCTGGGGGAACAAACCTCTGCCAAAATTTTAAAGCTTAGAATGTTCTAAAAGATGTTTCTGCTTTACTGAATGCCACATATGTGTAATACACAGAAATTACAATTAAAAGCTACTTTCTCCTACTTGGGAAGCAGCTTATCCCTATCTGAGTGAGCCTACTCTAGTGCTACTTACTAAGCTAAGTGATACGATTTCAGCCACTCATTCCCAAAACATTTTAGTCACACCTCTTCTTGGGATTATTTGAAGTCTTACCTTCAGGCCCTTTCGCAAGATAGATACAGGAAAAGAAGTATCTGCTGTTGAACTCAACCAGAGTCTAAATTCTGCATCTATATTCTTTTCTCCTTTAGTAAACCTGTGGATAGAATCAAATTTGTAAATACACTAACATTATATTAAAAATAATTCTTGCAAGAGATTTGAAAAACATAGCATAACAAATGTATCTTTCCACCCTACACATTTCCAGACAGAACATTCTCCTGCTTTCTTTTCTACCCCTTTGTGCACAATACAGTTGGATTTGTATCTAAACTTCTCTTTGAAAACTCATTTCTCTCCTCTTGAAAAAAGCTGCTTCTCTAACAAGTTTTAAAGATATCAACTTTGTGTCATATTGCTAAATTCAGCCTCCAGTAGTAAGTGATAGAAAAAATAAACTGTTTTTAGAAGGGGCATAAAGGAGAGTAAAGACATACAAAAAAGGCACTGGTACTATGTGATACAAAGGAAATTTAAATGGATAGTGGGGAAATTACTTCAATTCAGAACCAGGTACTTTAAAAAGAATGAATGTTTCATCTAAAGAGCCCTATATGTTAACATCCCCTTAAATGCAAATAGATACCATCTCCTGTCCAGAGTGATTGCAACTCACCAGAGTAAAGGATACAATACCCAGCCCTTGTGCTCTAAAAGTTTACTCAGAAAGAAAAAAGCACAAATTTTCTTCACATAGTTGCATAAGTAAGAAGAAGAAACTTATTCATGTATCTGGAAAAACTTCAGCATGATACTCTGGTTTCTTTTCAGATCGCATAAATCTTTCGCCTTTTACTAAAGAAAAACTTCAGCATGAATTTATTTCTTGCTCACATGGGGGCAATAGCAATAATGTTTGTCTCCATGACTCCTTTCTTCAATTAAGTCACCGTGATCAACTCACTGTGAAATCACACTGGGGAAGTCCGATTTAAGTGGCCATACAGGGAGACAGGAGAAAAGAGAGGTTAATTACATGTAATTCTGGTTCTTTCAGTGGTCATCTGTGAATTCACACAAATGGGTTTTAGTGCACTTCCAAAGAGAACCTCAGAAACTGCTAGAGCTCTTACACATGCTGTTAGGACCTCCCTCCGGTCACGCTTACCCCACCCATGGCACAGAGTGCCTCAGTTCTGTAGAACAGTCCGCTGCTGCCCAGCATGCAACAGGCATACGTGATGGACAGAGGGGAGGATGGGCAGGAGGTGTGAATTCACAGATGACCACTCAAAAAACCAGAATTACAGGTAAGTAACTTCTCTTTCTTCTTCGTGGTCTCTGTGAATGCACACAATGGGCAACTAGCAAGCTGACTTACCAGAGGTGGGACGTCACAAATGAGCAGAAGCAAGGATAGTGCGAAAAAAGTGGCATCAGCCTTGGCTCGGATATCTAGCTGATAGTGGGCAACAAATGTACAGGGTGTAGCCCAGGTCTTGATCAAGTCCACCCCTCTGAGAAACGCCATGGATGTTTCTACAGCTCTGGTAGAATGTGCCCATACTGGACCTGGCAAGGGTTCATGGGCAAGGTCATATGCCAGATGAAGACAATTCATTTGACACCATGGATGGTGAAGACAATCCATTTGAAAATGGTTTGAGAGGTGACAGGAGAGCCTCTAAAAGGACCATGAACAGCCTCTTAGACTTCCGAAAGAGATATAGAATGCCAAGGCGTGTTGAATGTCTAAAGAGTATAATCAGAACTTTAGGTTGTTGGTAGGTGAAGGGAAGAATTTAGGCAGAATAATGGGCTGCCATATGTGAAAGTCAGACATCACCATTGGAAGGAATGTCAGGGTAGAGACCTTGTCAGGATGGAATTGTAGAAAGCGTGGGAGAGCACAGAGAGCAGAGAGCTCACTAGCCCTACAAGCTGAGGTGATAGAAACAAGAAAGAGAGTTTTCAAAGTTGAGCGCTATGTAGAGTTTGCCCCTCTATATCCAGAACTCTTTTTTTGATTGTATGGAACACCCTGGAAGGGGGTATTGAGCCCAGCAAATACGGTGACAGCTCCAAAGTCTTGATTTTCTTAAGAAATAGGTCCAAACCTTTTGGAAACAGGCTGTTGGCAAGCAGCACTTGAAATAAGGTGTCCTGGGCTGAAAAGAAACAGATTCTAATCCAATACTTAAATAATCTGAGCCAAGCCTGAGTCTCAATCCTGTATTGACTGCCTTCAAGGCATAGAGTAGCATAGGGCACGCAATGGGGCAGGCCAAGGATTTTATAAAGAAATGTTGATTGGACCCCTTTCCACAGAACTGAAATGCAGACATCCAGATGGGGACACCATATAGAAGCTGTGCTGCTGATTTAGCATTAAAAATCTGCAGTGCAGCAGGGATGTAAGAGTGGCCCCAAGTGCGATGGAAGCGTAAGATAGCCTGTGCTGAAAGCTTTGCTGACTTAGTCGCTATCCGTTGGTGCATTGGCCAGGTCTGTCTGTAATGAAAAAAACAACATCCAAGTACTTAAACTCTCTGACCTGCTGGATATAATTGCCATTGAAGGACCAAGAGAAGGGTTTCTATGCTTTGCCAAAAGCTATAATTTTAGATTTCTCAAAATTTAATTGAAGTCTCAAAATTTAATTGGAGTTTGTTCCCCACTTTATTTTCAGCTGCCCCTCACCCATGGCAATAGACCGAACTATTCTCTATCATTTAGAACAGCCACAATATTGCTGGGCATTTACCCTTGCCAGATGCAAGATAGTACCATCGAGCTTAGTGCAGGGCAGGTATATGGGTTTACCTACAGAACTGAGAGTATGCCCATATGGTCAGGGAGAGGTTGAATCTCTGTAGCATATGTTATTCTACTGCATTTGGTATAAGGACACTGCCTGTCTTATTTGAACACTTTCCTCCCCTCTCATTCTGGATGGGATGATCTGACAAAAATTCAACATCTCCTAAGTGGCACTATTAAGGAAATTACCCTGACAGCTGCTAGTTGCTTCTATGCTATTATGCAGAGACAACGTAGTGTGCTTCGCAGAATGATGAGCCCTAAATATGCATCTGGCTGTTTCCTGCCACCTGTCAGCCGTTGAACATTTTAGCTCTGTTTCACTGTGTTTTAATTTGTACAGTATGCCAATAAAGTTTTCTGTTTGTCTGTCTGTTAAAGTTGAGAGTCTTTCTCGTGTAATCACCAGTGGCTCTAATGGAGTGACCATTTAGAAGTGGATGGTTTGCATGGAGGATGAATATTCCTTAGGCCCCATAGAAATCATTTGAGTGTAGGGTGCCTGAATAATAATGCAGAGTCTGTATTTGGAGGCTGATGAGCGAAGAATAAGCCTTGCTGAGGGAAAATCAGCATGCCTTCTGTAAGGGTAAGTCTTGCCTCACAAATCTTTTAGAATTCTTTGAAAAGGTCAACAGGCATGTCGATGCAGGTGAACCAGTGGATATTGTCTATCTAGATTTTCAGAAGCTGTTCGACACAGTCCCTCACCAAAGGCTGCTGAGAAAATTCCACAGTTAGGGGATAAGAGGGCAGGTTCTCTTATGGTCCCCAACCTTTTCTGAACTGTGGACCAGTTGGGGGTGGGTGGGGTCTGTGGGGGGGCAGGGCACCCATGCGTGTGAAAGAGTGGGTGGGGTGTGCGTGCTGGTAGGGCAGGGCACCTGTGCATGCATGTGAAGGTAGTGCATGTGTGCGTGCGTGGGGTGCGTACAGGCGGGGGGGCAGGAGATCCATCTCTGTGGCCTGGTCCTGCCAAGGCCACGGCCTGGTACCAGGTTGCAGACTGGAGGTTGGCGACCCCGGCTCTTATGGACTGAGAATTGGTTGAGAACCAAGAAACAGAGAGTAGGCGTCAATAGGCAATTTTCACACTGGCAAGAGGTGAAGAGTGGTGTGTCCCAGGGATCTGTCCTGGGACTGGTGATTTTCAACCTGTTCATAAATTACCTGGAGACAGGGAAAAGCAGTGCTGGTGTTGGTATTGTGGGCCTTCAGAGGTGGACCTCGGTGAATACTAGTGACTTTCAAAGAAGATGACTGAACATGAGACGAGGTTGCTTGGGCTCAAGATGGTCGAGCAGGTACCGAGGTGGTATGGCGTGGACATTTCATCGCCATCTGGTAACTGTGATCAGATGGGAGGGACCTCTTATGATGCCAAGGTGGTGCCAGAGTCAGAGGCATAGTATGCCATTCATTGTCTGAAGACTGGCATGGAAGGCCCTCAGCTAGTGTCTGGTATTGAGGAGATGGTGAGATGGAAGAAGAAGCTGAGCTACAAGCATAGGCATAGTGATGTGGCATAGTGTGCCTATGATACTGAGGGTCTATTCGTATAGTTCAAGATCATAATAGATTTTGGGCTTGTAGTAGGTTGGACAGTCATAGAGGTGAACCATCTTAGGACGATGATGATATGGGGGCTCCTGATCTGCAGATGAGTGGTATGGAGCATGAGAGCAGCGCCCTTCTATATCACCACAAGTGTTGACATGGTACGTCTTGCGGGTCATTTTATGAGGAGGAGCCTCCTGTGCCGAGTCCAAGATGTATGGCCTGAGATGGAGCCCGCTTGGGATAGAAGGCTTGCCTGCACTGATTGTGTGACTGCAGTGACCTGACCCCGGTCAGGAGGGTGACTGAAATTATGGGAGAGGGTGGCATTAGATAAAAGGGGGGGAAATCCTTATCCCTAGACATTAAATTGAGACAGACTGCCTCTTGGCCGACAGTGGAGGTGGGTCTGATTTATCCACAGACACTGAAGTTTGAGAGTGCTTGGATCTATCAGGCACTGATGACTTCTTTTTCTACTTATGTGTGTCCAACAGTACCAAGGTTGACTTCAGTGTCAACACCATGGAATGAGTAAAGGTGGGCTTTGATACTGATGCCGAAGACTTTGGTTTACATATCTCTTTCACTTTTTTAGTGGGTTGAGTCAATCTTGTAGGACAGCGATTTTGAGAGGTAAGTGAGGGCTATGGAGGTTGAGGATGGTTTGGATCCATGGTCGAGCACTGAGGTGGTTGTAAAGGTTTTTCCCAGAGGAAAACCCGGGCCTTCTCGGCGGTGGCTCCTCGCCTCTGGAACAATCTCCCTCCAGAGATTCGCGTGGCCCCTACACTAGGCATCTTTAAAACCCAACTAAAAACATGGTTCTTCACTCAGGCCTTCCCTCCAGCCAACTCTTGATTTTCTTCTTATTTTTCCTATTTTTATTTTTATTATAGCTGTTTTGTATTTTATGTATTTGCTGTGTTTATTGTTTACATTTTATGTTGGAAGCCGCCTAGAGTGGTCCATTGGTCCAGATAGGCGGGGTACAAATTAAATCAATCAATCAATCAATCAATCAATCAATCAATCAATCAATCAATCAATCAATCAATCAATCAATCAATCAATCAATCAATCAATCACTGTAAGTGAAGTTTAAGCTTTGGCCTTGTTAAGTTTTCGGAGGTCTGACACAAAGTGGTTTGGTGTGCCTCACCTAAACAGAATAGGCACTGAGAATGCCTATCCAAAAAGTTTATTTTGTTTGGGCAAGACTTGCACCACTTGAAGGGGCCTGAGGCAGAGTGGAGGGGCCTGGAGAATTAGGGTGGGAAAGAATGGTCTTCTTTCTCTCTCTCTTTCTCTTTTACCCATCAACTAAGAAAATAGTCGAAGAGAATAGATCGCAATGAAGGAAGGTCTCCTAACCATATTTTATTTTCTTATCAGGATGAACAAACGGACCTCTGTAACCAAGGGGCTGCTGAAATGGTGGCAAAAGAGGAACTGAGGCACTCTGTGCCGTTGGCAGGGCAAGCATGCTGGGAGGTCCTAACAACACGTGTAAAAGCTCTAGAAGTTTCTGAGGTTCTATGCGTAAGCACACTAAAACTATGGATTTGGGTATGTGGGAAATTCTGGATTGATTCACATTTCCCTTTCTGTCATGTGATCAATGAAAAGGAAATGAATCAGATCACATTTTAATCAATATGGCCACCCCTTAAATCTCCTAACATCCTTGTCTCTTGGCTTCTAAGTACCAAATTATATATTACATCTAATCCACCATTACAGCTGAAATCATTCAAGTGTTCAAGAAACATTGACTAAGGCAAATAAGACTGTCAAACAAAGAACGTGCTTAGGTCCTGAAGACCAACCATAAAACAAAACAAACTGATTTGCAAATTATGGTAAATGAGAAAAGCTTCTGCTGTGATAAACACCACCAGCACTTAAGGAATTCTCTCTTATAGTAACAGATTATCTGTGAAATATAGTGTGACCTTGGGTGGAGAAATTTTTTTATCATGTTTTTGTTTTATCTGCTGTCTTGCCTGTTCTACATATAATGAGTTTTTACTTTTAAAAACAGTGATTTAATTATTGTTTTTAATTGTTAGCTGCCCTGTCTCATGATTAGTATATAAGCCCCAGATAAATTTAAAAATGCTTAGTATGTTATACAGCTGCAAACCAGCTCAGAAGAACTGCTACTCAGCTGTGAATTATCAGGGATGTTCAATAAAGACACAAAAAAGACTTAACTGTAACAGGGCCTTTATAATAGTTATTCTATGCAAGAAAGAGTTGGGTGATGGAATGAATATCTGTGGGTCTGAAAGAAGGAGCACATGATTGCCCTAAAACTAAAGATGCAGTAAAGTCATTAAAGTTCATCCATGTGACAATAAACTGCATAATCAAAGAAATTAAAATGGCACTTACATATCAACAATTCCACAGAGTCTAGGCATAAATGAAGCTGCGAGATGACAATTCTGGAGGAATGCCCACTGTCCACTCAGTATCTGTGCTTTGTATATCAGTTCTTCAGCTTTGGCACCTTGACCATGTCCTAGTGAGATCATTTTCACATGTTGGGTGTTTCCTTTTATTTCCTGGGCAAGGCGCAGAAGGACAGCAGCAATGTCCACTCCTGTGTAGAATGTGCAATAAAACTAGTTTGTTTCCACATCCAGAAATGTGCTTTCTTTATATTTATTAATACATAATGTATACTGGGTTAATAACGTGATTTGGATATGATAATTTATATGAAACATATGCTGCATTAAAAATGAACAGAGACTTAACATGGTATATTCTAATTAGGGCGATCAGAAGAGGACTCAACTCTTGTGTGCTTAATAGTTCTATATGTTTAGTAGCTGAGACAAACTACACCTCAAAAAATTCCTTCTACACAACTTTTAAAGATGCAGGAGACCTAGCCTTTCTACACAACTTTTAAAGATGCAGGAGATTTAGCCTTTCTGGTTTCTGGCCATCTTAACTTGATTGTTATATATTATAAACACACTTCCAAACCATGCAGCAATCTTATGAATTAATGGCATCCAAAAGGTCCTACAGGCATACCTTGGTTTACGAATTTATTGTATTCTACGGGATGTTACTTGGGATGTGGTGGCGCCTTGGGACGTGGTGGCGCCTTGGGACGTGGTGGCGCTGTGGGCTAAACCGCAGAAGCCTGTGCTGCAGGGTCAGAAGACCAAGCAGACGTAAGATCGAATCCACGCAACGGAGTGAGCGCCCGTTGCTTGTCCCAGCTCCCGCCAACCTAGCGGTTCGCAAGCATGCAAATGCGAGTAGATAAATAGGTACAATCTTGGTGGGAAGGTAAACAGCGCTCCGTGTCTAAATCATACTGGCCATGTGACCACGGAAAGATTGTCTTCGGACAAACGCTGGCTCTATGGCTTGAAGAGCGGGATGAGCGCCGCCCCCTAGAGTCGGACACGACTGGACAAAAATTGTCAAGGGGAACCTTTACCTTTACGGGATGTTACATAATGTGAAAAATTAGTAAATCAAAACGCAAATTGCCATAGGAACAGGTGAGACATTATAAACCTCCAGGTGCAATGCATTCTGGGAAAATTTTCTTCGTACTAAAAAAACCCAAACCAAACCAAACAAAAAAACCCATAAACTGAGGCATTATTTTCAATGGATTTTCCTTCATAAACTGAAAGTTATGTTAACTGAGGAGTTCATAAACCAAAGTACCTCTGTATAATTATTAGATCTGCTTAGGTCTTCCGGTCTAGACTGTGATTTCCTTTATTAAGTCAATTTGTCTCATGTTAGGTGACTTCTCCTCCCCCTACTGCTTTCCGTTTTTCCTAGTACAGTATTACTTTCTTTGCCAATGACTCTTCTCTTTTCTTAAAATCTTCAAAATATGATACCTTCAGTTTAGATTCTAGCAAGACTTCAGATTTGATCTAGACTTGATTATTTTGTCCTCCTTACAGTCCATGGTATTTGTAAAGTTAGCCTCCAACACTATACTTCAAGGGCTTGAATTTTTCTTCATCACAACTCAGCTTTCGTATCTTTTCATAGTAATAGGGAATGCCACAGTATGGATAGGCTAAGCCTTGGTCTCCAGTGACATATCTACACATTTGAGGGTGTTTTTTAGTTCCTTGATAGTAAGTGGCTCTTCCAAATTTCAGTCTTCTTCTAATTTGTTGGAAACAACATCTATTTAGATTGATCAGGTACAGAAAATGATTAATGATTTTTTTCTTCTTTGTCAGCAATTAAATTCTTCTGTATTTTTGTCTTCTCAGTGTTCAAATAGAATCATGCTTCTGCACTGTCACTTTAACATTCCTCAGTAGTCATTACAAGGGAGGGTGCATTCCTCTTCTTTGATGTACATATTTAAGGTGGTGATGGGCTTCGAGTGTTTGGTAAGGTGAGACTTGTACTGTTAAGAGCCTAGATACCTAGCAGAGTGACCCAAGACAGATTGATCAAAGCTGAGCCATGAGACTGACATGCATTCAACCTCTGTAGGAATTGATTATCATATCAGCAGAAGACAATTTGTTGGTTCCAGTGGTGATGAGGGTAAAGAAATGTTTAAATAGCAGCTACTGGGCGCAAATTTCTTGGAAGGTGACACTGGTGCAAGACCTGTCATAGTAACACTCAAGCATATAAATCTTGTGAGTACTGGGGAATAATGAACACTCCTAAATATTTATCCCTTGGAAACTCTACAATGAAACAGTCCTATGTACACCACATCATTAATACTATAAATGCACATGCACATCTGGTTGACTAAATGGTTTTGGGTAGAAAATAACCAGACCGGTATTTTCTTTTCAGGCTTGTAGTGGATATATATGAATTAATGACCTCCAAAAGGTCTTATCAATTACAGCCCTGCTCAGTTTTTGCAACCTAAAGGCCATGGCTTCATTTACTGAGTTGATCATGCATATTTAGTGTTTGTAAAATATACGTATTTTTGTACATGTGTGGAGCTAATAACAGATTGTAAAACTATAAAATTTATTCAATAAACATAATTTAATCTCCAGCTATTTAACAACAGTTTAGCTAATTGCTTCAATAAATTCATGCACATAGAGATATTTAAGTACACCTAGTGCTCTCACACATAGAAAAATATAAGATAATTTTAAAGTGCTAGGTATACAATTTTAATGAATATATAACCTGATACTATGTTTAAAATAAAATCTTTTAATCTAATTTAAAATATTACTGATCGTTAATTTGCATACAATGTCATTTAATCCATCTAAATTATATCTGTACCTCATAAATCTTTTTCTCATTACTTTTAAAAAAACTACTCTTCCATTTTCTTTCTCTCTTATTGCTGTTTACATGCCCATCAAGTTGCCTCCAACTTATTGTGACCCTACAAGTGAGTGATCTCCAAAATGTCATCCCCTCAATAGCCCTGCTCAGCTCTTACAAACCCAATGCCATGGCTTCCTTTATAGATTTAATCCATCTCATATCTGGCCTCTATCTTTTCCAGCTTTTTCTTTCCTCGAGAATCCTGCCTTCTCATGATCTGCCCAAAGTATGAAAGCCTCAGTTTTGTCATTTTTGTCTTCAGATATAGTTCAGGCTTGATTTGATCTAGGAACCACTTGTTCACTTTTCTGTCAGTGCAGGGTATCTACAAAGCTCTCCTCCAGCAATACATTTCAAATGAATCACATTTTTTCCTGTTGGCTTTCTTCATTGTCCAGCTTTAACACCCATATGTAGTGATCAAGAATAGAAGAGTGTGATGATCTTCCTCTTGATCTCCAGTGACACATCCTTGCACTTGGTGATCTTTTCTAATTCCTGCATTGCTGCCCTTCCAGTTTCAGTCTCCTGATTTCTTAGCTGCAGATTGATTATTGAACCAAGGTATACACAATCTCTAACTATTTCAATTTCTTCACTGTCAGCATTAAAGTTATATAGTTCTTCTGTAGTCATGATTTTTGTCCTGCACACCCATTACTTTCAAAACAATCCATAGCTTCTCATGATTCATGCAGGCAAAGATTTTGTTCTAATCTATGAAGTATAGACTTAGCTTCTTCTCAAGCTTTTTGGTGCGGTCCTGTAGCCAGCAAATATCTCTAACATGACCTTGACTGCCTCTTCCTTTTTAGAACCCAGCTTGAACATCAGGCATTTCTTACTCCATATAAGGTAAAAGCATTTGTTGCAGCACATTGAACATCATTTCCATGAAAATTAAAGCAATTGTCCTATTAGTTACTGCACTCCTTGACATCTCCTTTCTTTGGAACTAAAATGTATTTTCAGTGTGGGGCCATTGTTTTGTTTTCCATATTTGTTGGCATATTCTTGTTAGGATTTTGACAGATTCTGTCTCTGTGGCTTGACATAGTTCTCTTGGCATTCCATCTACCCCAGCAATTTATTTCTTCCCAGTGCTGTTAAAGCACTTTTCACTTCACTTTCTAGAATTGCAGGTTCTTCATCACAGAAATTCTTTTGATAGGAATCTGTCATCCTTTTGTCTCTTCTCTATAGATCTTCAATATATAGTTTCCATGTTCTTTTTAACTGGGCTTTCAGCATTCCTAGGATACATTTAAATTTTGCTTTGATTTCTTGAATCTTCTGGAACAGATATATCATTTCCCCCCTTTTGTTGTTGTCTTGTATTTCTTTGCACTGGCCATTATAACAGAGTCTTTGAAAAGCTGCATTCAGGATTATTACTGTACTTCTGTCAGTTTTTACTTTTGCTTCTTGCATGTCGTTAACTATTTTAAACATTTCTTCTGTCATCCATCTAAGTTTTTCTTTTTTTTACAGAAATTGTATTTTTCCATTCTTCCCTAATAATATCTTTGGTTTCAGTTCACAGTTCTTCTAGGTCAAATTCAATTGAGTTTAGGATTAAAGACACTCCATTTCTTCTGAGTTTGTCATTTCCAGACTAAAACACTTTGTATTTGTCTGACTGACTATATTCCATTTTATTTTGCTGATGTGGTCGATATTTCTGAAGAGGTTGGATGCATCTTCGTGTGATACCTCAGCTGGTACCTCAACTGTGAACATTATACCTTAGGTAACCCTGCTAGAAGTCCGGGCTCATGATGGAGTCTAGAGACTACTGATGACATTGCTCTGACTCACTCAAATCTCCTTACCATATTAAGGTGTGTATCCAAAAAACGGTGTCTCTCATTATTTTATATTTTATTCATGGAATTTATTAATTACTAACCTGAGCTGCACAGGAAACATATAATTTGTATTCATAAGAGTAACATTTACTTATATCATTATTTATTTTTACAACACTTACCATGAGTATGGATCAGAATGAGTGGTGTCATAGAATCAGAGTCTCGGTATACTGCTTTCAGATCAGTTCCTCCAGTCTGAATATATTTGGATCCTAATTTCTCAGTTACAAATGTTCGTATCGCACTGTTTAAGCTTTCTAGTCGAAGAACCTTTATCTACAAAAATAGGGATAATATACCTACATATGTAAAGGATATAAACAAGAGCAAAGAGGCTAATGAAACCTTAAAAATTGACTAGTTTTATTCATGAGCTGCAACCTGCTTTTTGTCTGAGTAGGGAGATATCTATGCACATATTTGGGTGAGTAATGTAATCTGCCTGGATGAAATTAACAGCAGGTTAGAAAAAAACTGTGGGAAGAATGGAACATTGGATACTTACTCTGGTGGGTATGGTTGATGAATCCACACAAACTGGATTTCGCCCTTCACTGACCAAGTCAAAAGCAGCAGTCGTATGAGGCTGAAAACATGCAAGCTGCAGGCACACTCTATCTAGAAATCTTCTTGTTTGTAATAAAGTCCTTGATCATCTCTGATATTTGTATTTTTTTAAAGTGTCATAATTGATTTTTCAATATCAGCTAAAATAAAGGCTCTCTAGATACAACTAAACTTAACCAATATAGTCTCTAATAAAAATATTAAAGATACTTCACTATACTTACCAAGATAAGTCTTTCAAATGAAGAAAGTTTATGCCAAGGAAAAATTAAAGGTGCACTGCTCTGATCATAGCTTTTTTGTATAACTTCAGACTGAGGATCTGAAAAGTCTGAAAGAGATAAAATAATTATGCTACATAAATATTGTAAGATATTTGTAAATTCATATGGACTGTATTAGTTGTATAAAGGAATATTTTAATTATTGGTGGCTATTTCACTGGGAATGAATGAGAGGGAGAGGGAGGCCTATTTTGGAGGAGGAGTCCCAGTTCAGAAGCATCATTCAAGCAACTGTAAAAAGATCTATTCCTGTCACTCCTTTGCTGCTAATATACAAATCAGCAAATTAGGGAAAACTTTAGACCTGGAGCAGATACTCAGCTTTTGAATTTTTTTAACTTACATTTTTAATATTTCAGTTTTATTATTAATTTTCAGTATCTGAATATGTTAATATTTTTTATATTATTTCAGCTAATTATTTTCATTTTTATTTTTACAGATTGTTTTAGCTTTTTATATTTGTGAGTTCCCCTAAGAGCATTTGTCCTTAGGGGTGGTATATGCATCTTATCAGAGAAGCAAGGTGGAGCAAGTGGGACTTGAATCTAGGGTGCCAAAATTTAGAGGGTATAAAATTCAACCATACACTTTCTATTGCCTGGTTCAACTCAGATTGCCTGTTTAACATTGTGTTCTGTTTTCTCTAATCATCTTTTATTGAGACCAGGAAGTGCTTTGGCCTGATAATGATAATATATAATTATCATGTAATGATAACCATGGTAACATTTTTCTGCCAAGAAGAATAAGCCTTTCTTGGGTTTCTTCAAGCTCCCATGAGTCTTTGGAGATCTAATCCTCAAATTCAGCTGATGCCTTAACCAGGATGCAGCTGGCCTTAAGATAAACCTCTGTCTGTTGTTGTTTCCCAGCACACCTTTTCCCCACATTCCAGCAAATCATAGTTCACTGGTGGCAGTGGTGCCTGACAACATCATTATTGCATGTGTACAGTCACTCATGCCATCTTTGCTGCCTTCCAGGACATATGCACATACGTACACATGTCACTCTAGACAAAAGTAAATTCCGCAGCATGTAGAATCACAAGCTTAGGACTACTTTCCCCTGATTTTCCTCCTTTGCCATGACAGCATGCAGCAATACTTTCTTTACTCAACCATCCCTTGGCATTTTGGCTCTGCTGATTACTAGGAGAGAAAAAACTGAAAATATATTCTCAAGAGAAAATTCCTGCCCTGGGCTTTGAGGGGCTCTACTCACACATATTGGTTCCCAAATAGACGTCCTCAAAGAAGCCATGCTGCCCTGTCACTGAGCTTTGGGTTGAACCTTTCTCCTCAATTTCTGTGTTTACTTACAACTACATGGAAAAACCAAAGCAAAGTAGGATGAAGCTTTTGGCAGTTCATACCAGTGTGGAAGGATGGAGGCAAGCTAAAGGATTACAGATGACTGAATAAATAAGGACAAAATATGAAGAGGATAGGGCTGGAAAAGAAGAGTGGAAAACGTTATTCCACAAGCCATGATTGGGCAATGGGGCCAAGGCAATTTGCACAGAACCATGGGCAAGCTTTCAAGATCTCTACTTCTCTTCCCAAGCATTAAATTACAAAATATAACGAGAGAAAAAGAAAGGTTACTTACCTGTAACTCTGGTTCTTCGAGTGGTCCTCTGTGAATTCACACTAATGGGTTAAATCTGTGCTTGTGCAGAGGCCTCGGAATATTCTAGAGCTTGAAGTAACATTTTTGGCTCCTCTCCTCAGGACCTCATGGTCCGCCCACCTTAACAGTTACCTCAGTTCCCCAAATTCCGCTGCTGCGCTAAGGCGAGACAGCCATGACGGAAAGAGGGGAGGACGGGTGGGACGTGTGAATTCACAGAGGACCACTCGAAGAACCAGAGTTACAGGTAAGTAACCTTTCTTTCTTCTTCGTGGCCTCTGTGAATCCACACTAATGGGTGATTAGCAAGCTTGCCTCTGATAGGAGGAGGGACATCACGGCAAAACAGCATACAGGATCGCGCGTCCAAAAATGACATCCTCCTTGGCCCGCAGATTCAGGCGATAGTGAAAGATGAAGGCTGACGGAGCGGGGAAAATGGCAGCTGTGCAGGTTTCTAACAGTGGGACACCCTTGAGGAAAAGCTGTAGAAGTAGCCAAACTTCCGGTAGAGTGAGCATTCACCAGGTGCAGGTGATTAGACTTGCGAAAAAAAAAACAGTCCTGTAAACATAGAACGATAACGCTCTGCGAACATCTAGCAGGTCAAGTGACCTCTCTACATCTGTAGACAGTTAGGAAAGAAAGTGGGCAGACTGATAGGCGGCCAAACATGAAACTCAGTAGAAACTTTGGGTATGAAGGAGACATCTGGGTACAGTATAACTTTGTCCAGGTTAAAAAAAAAGTAGTAAGGGAGGAGCCACCTGAAGTGCTACTGGAAGTAACTGCAACTAAGAAATAACCTTGAAAGTCAACAAATGTTCAGTAGTCGTGGTCAGTGGCTCAAACAATGAACGCGAGAGGCACTTGGGACAGTGTGAAGAGTCCACTGTGGTATAGACCGGCCCTGTGGAGGGTAAAGGTTTGCCATACCAGGGGAAAACCTCTTCACTTAGGGTAGCAAGTAGTAATTTTGGTAAATGCCAGCCAATTGCAGAAATAGAGTTGATTGGTAGAGGGCTTCCTGGAGTGTGATAATATGGAGTTTATTGAGGAGGAATTCTCCACGCCATGAGGTGAAGAGCTTGTAGATCTGGACGGTATGTTTTCCCTTGATTCTGGGTCAGAAGATGAGGAATAGACAGGGGTCTCATGGAGCCTGATGACATTGTCAGCAGTGTTGTGAACCACAGACATCTGGGTCAGTATGGGTCTATGAGGATCACCGTGGCATTGTCATGTCGTATCTTCAGTATTATGCGCAGTAGGAGAGGTATTGGAGGGAACATGTACATGAAGCAGCCCTT